CACAGGATATTTTTGAGAATTTTCATTCACTCTATTCAAGTGCAGCTGTTTTTTTAATTGGCGCATTTTACTTCTTTGCAAATCTAGGTATTTGTTTCTTAATTTCTTCCACTCTTTTCTGAAATTAAATAATAAATATTAATTACTCCTGAAACTGTAACTTTATGACTAATCAAATATATGAACAATGTATTTACTTTGAAAGAATTTTCAATCCAGTTGAAGCAATACTTTCTCTGTATTTCTTGACTTGCTTCTTTCGTTTCCTTTTTTTCTTTTTGGCTTCTGGACATGTTTCTGTCTCATTATCCTCAGTTTCAACACCAGATGTGTTGTCTGTTAAAATAGGTTTATCTACAGGTTTTTTTTCTGTATTCGTAGAGGAAGATTCTTGATCTGTTTTCTTTTCAGTGTTTCTTTACTGGCATCAGTCTCAGATTTCACTTTACTTTTCTTTTTCTGTACTTGTTCATCACAACTTGAATCAGATTCCATGGCTTTGCGCTTTTGTGTTTTTAACTTAGTATCAGTCTTTGAGTCTTCCTCCATTTTGGTTTCACATTTTTCTTGTTCATTTTCTTTAGCCTTATCATTTTCTTTATCATCAACTTTCGGTTGATTAGGGTCCTCAAATGAAGTGATACTACATAAATCATCTGGATTCATCATTGGAAGCAATTTAGCACCTGCCTCTTCAAATGCTTCTAAACATTTGGTTGCAGATGCAGGATCTTCAAACTCAACGAATGCAAATCCTTTGATTTTTTTATTGTGTTTGAATCTAGGTACTGATATATAAGACACTGGACCAAATGTCACAAATATATTACGAAGCCAATCATGGTCAATGTTTGGTGGCAGGCATTCCTGAAATGATAATGGGTAAGTTAATTTATTCTTTAAATATATAACAATACAATTGTATTTACCACATATACAGTGCATTCATCAAGATTTGTCCTTTCCTTGATAGGAGTTATACGACATATCTTTTTTTCGTCTTCAGACAATTTTAATATTTCTGAATTTGAAACCGATTTAGCAATGTCTTCAATGTTATCAGTAAGCGATTTAATTTTATTGAATTTCAAGAACGTAGTCAAAGGGATATCTGAAATGAAGCAAAGTTATTATATCACTGCAAGTAATATTTAAATTTAACAATCAGAAACGTACAAGGATCTTCTTTTATCAAAGCTCCAAGAAACCTGTCTTTAGATAAATTGGCATCTCCAAAATAAAACTCCATTTGTTTCAATATAGAGTGATAAAGCTGTTTCTTTCTATGACGAATCTTTTTCTGGCTTTCATTAGAAGGAACCGCCTTTTCCACTTTATTTTCACTCTCCATTTTTAATCAAATATTAGCAACGAATAAATAAATATTTCTTAAAATATAAGTTCTTCAGTTCGAAGTTTCACTTTGACGTTGGAAATAATGAGGTTATGAAAATGGCGCCTCAAACAACAATGTCGGCAACATTGTAATATTATAAGCAAAATTTCCAAATTTTATTAAATTTATTTAAAGTTTTCGAAAATTTTAAATCTTTTTTAAAAATTCTAATTTTCATTACGGGAAGTTCCAGCAATTTGCTTAATGCACGATGCCATGCACTACTAGCTTATTATCGTTTTTTATTACGTTGGTGATGCTATTTGTCTTACATGAAGTATGCAGTTTATGCATAGAAAAATCACGTGGCCGCTAAAACAACAAAACTATAAGAACTGTCAAACACATACCGTACATTAATACAGTTATACCATAAAACCATGTTTTATTTTCTTTGTAAATCAGTCGTTTAATGGCACTGACTGCATCCAAGAAAATGGACACTTTTTCGTGTGCTGATATCAGTGTAGTGTTTAATTTTATGTCAAAACATTAAGCCACTTTTAATTTTAAGAATGATGTCGAACGGACGTGAGCATAAGTACATTTATAATATGTTTTATAGTGAAAGACTAAAGCTTTGCAGACTTCTTGACGAAAATGAAAAATGGAAAGAGCTCGCAGGGCATATGCAATTTGATGTTTGTACTGTGCAGGTAAAAAATACTATTATTTAATCTTGTATCAATAATAAATCTAATCAAATTGTAACACATCATGTCTGAACAAATTAAAAACTCCTCAAACATGTAAAAATACAATTTTTCTGAACGTTTTTAGTAAAGGTTTTGATAAAAGTCATTTGAAAGTGTTTGTTTTTGCATTTAGATGTCTTCTGCCATTTGTTCATGGTGGCATTCTTTATTCCCCTTTTGATTACTTTCATTAATACACAATACATTAAACTAACAATGTATTATTTTATATTATAGACTTCTATTAAAAGTACTTCCGTATTTTAATTCATCAATAAAAATTTTCATTTATTTCTATTTTGCGATTCTTGGGTTTTGCCCACTTGTTGTTAGTCATTGCGATTTCATTAGAAATTATATACATTTCTGGCGTATTTATTATGCATTCAACAAGTTTATGTAAATATTTTGCATTGTAATTAAACATTCATGAATTTTTATTTTACATTTTTTTGAAATTTATTTATTTAGCATTATATACATTTTCATATCTCAGTCAGACAGGGGTGCCTGGTATAAGAATTTTGGATAAATTTATACATTTATTCATATATGTCTATATAGTTTATATATATTTAATAATACTATATTTATCTATTTTATATTACTTCTTTACAAATTACATATATCTGATTTATATAAAAAATTAAGTACAAGAGTCATATTTAACTAATTAAGTTAATTTTGTTTATATCTGGTATAGTTTTTTATCTTATTGTTAGAAAACATAAAAGTTTTACTTTAATCAAATAATTTATTTAACTGGTAGTGCATAGCATTGTGTCTTGAGGCAAATTGCTGGATCTTCCCGTACAAAAAATTAACATTTTTAAAAAAGCTGTAATATTATTTGAAAACTTAAAAAATTGAATTTTGAAATTTTTGAAAAAATTGACTTTTTTGAAAAGTTTGAAATATTTTTTATATTTTGAAACTTAAAAAAAAATTAAATTATTTTTAAAGCAATCGTGGTGCGTAGCTGTTTCATGGACGAAATATCGAAGCGCGTAAGCGCCGCGTCTCAGTCTAACGATAAACAGTGGTACCGAACCCATAGATATGTAAACAAAATTTTAACTTATTATTGATGTCCGACAATTCGATGTGCATTTGTCTAATGATAATTTTTTATTGTTAAATGGTGTTTTTTTTACTTTATTTATCGGATCTCAAATAAAATGTTTTTTGAATCATTCAAATCGGTCGCTCCGTTCTCTTTAAAACTAAATTACCATTTTTGGCACTTCTTGCCCTTACTTCTATTCTTCTATCTTCTGAACGGCTGGACCTGCCTTTGCCAGAAACTAATAAGCACGTCTCCTTATCAATAGGAATCGAATGTTATTTGAATTATTCAAATCGGTTGATCCATATTCTTGAAATCGTCGACAAAAATTTGACAAACATACATTCATTTATTCTATTATGGTATGCCAAAATGCTCAGAAATTTTTGAAACGCAAAGATATATAAAAATTGGCATTTTCATAAAAAAAATAAAATTTCTGTGACAATCTTGGCAAAGTATAATCACAATGTGCGCCAAGTTTCATTAAATTCTCAAAATTCGCTTTTGAGAAAACACCATAATGCACCTAGGCCGAACGTGCTCTCAACCTGAAATTAGGCTAGTTTCAGGTCAAAGTGCAATATCGCATATCTCGAAAACTACCGTGTGAACCAATTTAAAAATTTGGTCACAATCTTGATAAAGTATAATAACAATATGTGCCAAGTTTCATTGAATTCGCACGATCCGTTTTTTGAGAAAATACTATGGTGCACCTAGGCGAAAAGTGCTCCCAACCTGAAACTAGGCTAGTTTCAGGTCAGAGTGTAATCTCGCATATCTCGGAAACTACAGTATGAACCAATTTAAAATTTTTGTCACGATCTTAGTAAAGTATAATAACAACGTGTGCCAAGTTTTATTAAATTCGCAAGATTCGCTTTCGAAACTTACCCTTTTGACAAACTTACCTCTCGGCAAGAAAATTTTTAAATTATTATTCGATAATATATTTTTCTTGTATATTTTTATTTTGGCCAAAACTTAAATTTATATGTTACTGTTAATTAATTTCTGGGATATTCTTTATTAGTTAATTCAATATTGCAGTAGCAATTACGCATATATGATGAATTACATACTTGAATTTTCACACAACTGGTAAAACCACAAAACTCCTGAATTTCAAACTAAGTTAGTTACTCACAATTCTATAATTAAAATAACTCCTACGAATAATATAACTTGAAAATGCATAGAATTATATATAAATTATTTTCCCAGAATAGTCTTTCAATTGATTTTATTTGCACATGTTGCATATGCGGAGATCTTGTTAAGAATTTTATGCAATTTGTCTTAATACACAATTCCACTTACATCTAGTTTTGTTTTTTATATAAAATTAAACAATGTTTAATTTTCTGGTAGGACATTGAACGCAAGACGAGATGCGGTGGATCTCCTTCCGATGAATTATTGACTTTATGGGGTCGTCACAATCACACAATTCTTGAATTATTTATTTTATTGTCAAGGTTTGCATTTTTGTACATATTATTGACTAATTTGTATTAAACTTATGTGTTTAACTTTTCAATCATTTTTTATTCAGAATGAATCACTTTAAAGCGATGGAAGAAATTAAACAATCTGTTGATCCAAGATATCATCAGCTGATAAAGAGTTACGAAGAACATTTATGCACAAATTTTGCTCAGCTTGGACCTAGACAGATTAATGGTAATGCACGCAATTCAGGTAAGAAACTCAACTAGTATTTATTACAATATAGCATTATAATTATTATAATAATATTATAATTTATTTTTTAGAAGTTAGTGATTCTGATAATGTTGCAGTCATCACCAAATCTTCAAAAATACTCAATGTGCTTAAGCCTAAGCAACCTAATATAGTTGTACAAATAGAAAGTATTAATAATAATAATAATGCACAAACTAGTGATGAAAATAATGAAAATGTTTTGACACCACCTACGAACAGGTCTCATCAAATGCCGTTCCAAAGGCGTTTGTCTCCACAACCACAGGTAAAATCTTGTAATAACTTCTCGATAATTAACTTTTCAAAGGAAAAGTTTATTTTTGTGATTCTAGTGAGTTTTTGTATTGTGATACATATGGTCTAAAACAGAAATAGCTATAATCAAACTCAATATAATTATCATCATAATTATTTATTTGTGTAAAGAAAATTAGATACATTTATAATATTTCTCATTCTGACTTAAACTATAATGCCTTTTAAACATAAAAGCAGTCAAATATATATTTATTCAATTAAATTACTAACACATTAAAACTATATCATATATGATTCATATATCAAATAATGAAGATTTTATTTACAGAGGAGTAAACCTCATCATTATTTTACATAAAAACATCATTACTAAACAATTCTACAAAAAATACAGTATTATTAAACCTAATTATAAGCACTTATCAATCCAGAAAAATAAAACTTATTTTCTATGTCAATTTCAACAAGATAAAAACAATTTCATGTTATAAGATCATTTTACCAAAGAGACTTACACAACATTCATACCACCCACATACACACAATGTAAACCTAAAAATAAATTTATAGTATAGAGAATACAATTTATTTTTATGTCCATTATCTAGGCAAAATTTTTAGTTTCCGGAGTATCCGATATTTCGAGTATTAACGAGTCTGCTAGTGCAATTCCTAGAATATCCTATGATGAGCTTCAAGCTGCTACCGATAACTGGAATGAATCTAATGTACTTGGCAGAGGCGGATTTGGAAAAGTTTTTAAAGGTAAAATTTTAGCATATTTAGAAGATTTAAAAATATTAATTTCGAATATCTTTTATAAGGTTTATGGAAAAATACTGCTGTTGCTATAAAACGTCTGGAGCCACCAAGAGGTATGACGTCTGCTGAAAGTTATAATACTCAAATGGAGCAATCAATGAGAGAATTAAGATATTTAAATGGTTGTCGACATGATAACATTTTGTCACTTTATGGATACAGCATGGATGAAGGTGTGTATAATTAAAAATGTTTTATTTTTACTGTTTATGGTGAAGATTCAATATTTATTCCTAACATAACGTTTTAATTTTTAATACAGGACGAGAACCCTGCCTCGTGTATCAATATATGTCTGGAGGTTCATTAGAACGCAATTTTCAAAGAGCGCGCCATAATTTGCAACCTTCTTTACTTTGGCAACAAAGAAAAAATATTGCTCGTGGTACAGCGAGGTGAGTGAATTGAATAAACAATTTTTGGCTATTTTTACAGATATGAGTTATATTAACTTCCCGTAGGGTAAGTTATTGTAATCGTCCAAAAATCGAAATTGGAAATTTTTGCGATCCTTCACGTTTTGAAGGTTTCTGAACATTTTTGCATACCTCAGAAAAAATGGATGTGTGTGTGTGTGTAAAAACCTCCGCTTTTCCCTTACCTTTGGTCCCGCGTTAGGCATTACTTCGTGGGGGGAGAATCTAGAATGTTAAAATTCTTACCTCGATTTTATACTTAGCTTTTGATTGTGCGAAGTCCCATTTGCTCTTTCTCCTTTCTCTGTGTGTATGTATGTATGTGTATGTATGCATGGATACAATTTTTCGTCCACGTTTTTGGGCGCACAGATCAGCCGATTTAAATTGTTCAAAAAACAGTCGATTCCTATTGATAGGATGTGTTGATTAGTTTTTGGCAAAGGCGGGTCTAGCCGTTTCCGATATACGGAGCAAAGAGTGCAGAAAATAGAAATTGAGTTTTTGAGAACGGAGCATCTGATTTGAATGATCCAAACAACATTCAATTCGTAATGACGGGGAGAAGTGGTGACTAGTTTTTGGCAAAGACAGATCCAGCCGTTTTGGAGATACCGAGCCAAACATGCAAAAAAATTGCAGTTTTTGCGAGAACTAAGCATCTAATTCGAATGATTGAAAAAACTTTCTGCTTGTGTTGACGAAACCATTTGCTTTTGGATTTTTTTTTTGTATATCGAAAATAATTCAGATTTCAATTTTAATTCTGGCTAAAGTTTTAAAGCTGACTTATATACTTTAAATAAATGATTTTAACTTTGTAATTCAGTTTATATAATTCGTTACAGTATTTAATTCATCTAATTTATTTAAAAACATTTAATATTCCTCGAACATTTCGTCACTGTACGGGAAGTTCCGGCAAATGTCTTAAGTCACGATGCCATACACTAATTTTGTTATATCGAAATTAATTCGTATTGTAATTTTAATTCTTGCCAAAGTTCTAAAACTTGCTTATATTCTTCAAATAAATAGTCTTAACTCTGCCATTCATTTCATATAACTATTATAAATAGTAGACAATGTCCTTTCATTTTAAATTAGATCGATTAAGTTTTGCTTATTTACTTTTCTGTAAACATATATAAATTTCAATATTTATAATAATCCATTTGAAAACCTCGAACCTTAATATTCCTCGAACATTTCTTTGCGGAAGTTCTAGCAATTTACCTTAAGGATGCCATACACCACTAGTTTTATTATCTCATAAGCTTCAACATAACTTTATATAAATATACCATGCTACCTTGACTTACAAGCGTTTCGAAATACTAGCGACAAAGGAGTGATTCATTGTTTCGGCATACGAGCAAAATTTGGGATACGAGCTTTAAGCGAGTAAGAATTCTCTCGAAAAATGTTGATGGCAAAATGGAAATATGAAAAATTTCGTCGTTTGTAACAATCATTTGGGTACCACTTATAAATATTCAAATAATGAAAAAATATCTTTTAAAGATCATGTAATTTATTGAACGCTACAAAATTTTTACGGATCTGAAGGTTGTTTGTGACATTTGGACATATGTTCGCGTAATGTTTATATAATGATCTAGATGTTTTTTGATTACTTGTCAATATAACGTATTACATTTATTGGGTCTATTCAAAATTAATTCGAGGCCTAATCTTCTTCTTCTGGTGGTTGCTGACTGACAACTGCCATATAACAAAATACCCCACATCTTGGTAATGGCTGGGAGATCAGAAAATCTCCATTGTCAGGAGATAGATTGAATAGAGCCGAACTTTGAGATGCTTGTGCTAGAGGTTGTTCAGGCATAAAGGTAGTGTCGATTGTTCCAGGTGGCAACTCATCCGGCTTTGGAAATACAATTCTACTATTAAAATAAAATGTTTTAATATTAATAATAAAAGTAACTAAGATATACCATTAGGTTTATCATTGCGGTCAATGGACCAGGTGGAGGTGGTTCATTGAATGGTGGAATCAAGTTTTGGTCTTGGACAGCTTTGACCAAAAATGCCATGAAATCATTTCGAAGCATTTTTTCTTCTTTGTTGTTCCTAGCTGTTGTCAATTTCTTGACCCAATTGTGAACATTGACACGATCTATATAAATACAATCTGATGAGTACTTTGTCTAATGAAAAGTTACAAAGACTTTTTGGTACTAGTTCACCTGATTCTGGCAACTAAGGATTTAAGGAATAAAGTTTTTACTTACCTTGTACATGTTTCAAATTGCTTATTACGAGCCTGAGCTTGCATGTGTTTAAGTGAAAATCGTAATCTAGAGAACTTAATGTGGTGGTGGTATTTGGGGTAGCCATTCTATTGCAAAGGAGAGCAAAATATTATAAACTGAAATTTTGAATTAGTTACTTAATACATTTTCTTTAAATTTTGATTATTTAATTTATGTTGAATACATTTTGTTTTTGATTACTAGATGATCAAAATATATTTTATTCATCTATATATTATTTTAGAGGATTGCAATTTTTGCATACTTACAATCGAGAGAAACCTTTAATTCATGGAGATATTAAATCAGCAAACATTCTACTTGATCAATGCAATGAACCGAGGATTGGAGATTTTGGTCTGGCAAGGGAAGGACCGCATACAGATTACATGAAGGTAAATAAATTCCAAGTTTATATACTTTTCTTATTATTTACCATAATTTTTAAAAAACTATTCAAGTTAAATTTTGAGAAAAATGTAATATAAAACTAAACACTTTACTTTATTCAAACTTCTGCAATAAAACGTCGATTAACATATTTCTCTTAACATTAGTAGATAATGAATTAATGCAAACCATTGTCAAAGAAGTTTAAAATACGTTTAAATGTACATTGGTCAAACAGTTAAAAATCAATCCTATATATTTTATGTTAATTTAGTAATTACAATAATATTTTAATTTTTTTTTCATAATAGTGTATATATCAGATTTTTGTAAAAAGTAGGCCTTGGATTTTTCTTAGAGTTTGAGTTCAAAAGTTCTTTGTAGGCAGAAATGAAAAAAAGTTAAACTAGTAGTTTATGGCATCGTGCCTTGAAGCAAATCAAAGAAGTTAAAAATCGGTATTTTTATATCAATCAAAAACATCCTATATCACATATTATATTAATATAGTTTTGTTTATCAACTTTATTCGTTTTAACAAATAGTTTTTTTCCAAAATTGTCTTATTTTAATTTGACTTTTCTATATATTCATTTCAAACATATATTAGATTTTTTTATTCGTTATTTCACCATATGTATTATAACAATAGGTACCAAGTTTTGATTATATTTTATCAGAATATAATTTAATACCAGGTTACAAGAATCCAAGGTACCAGACCATATCTTCCAGACGAATTTTTGCGCGGAAGAAAATTATCGACAAAGGTATATATAAAATATAATGTAATTTTGAGATTTTTGTATATAACTCTTAAAAGAGTATATTGTTTATAGTTACAATTTTTAGTATAAGTTCATTTATATATTTTAGGTAGATACATATAGTTTTGGCGTTGTATTATTTGAAATCGCAACTGGTTTATCAGTATATGACGACAAACGAAAATACAAATTTCTTAAAGATCACGTAACAGCATATTGTGAAGAAGGGCAGCTAGGTAATTTTTATTCAAATTAATTCAATAACAATGTTTCTATAAATATAAATAAATATATATATATATATATATATATATATTTATTTGTATGGTACAAATCAATTATATAATTGTATATTATTATTTATTTGGCTTTATAGATGCTCTCCAAGATCTTAGATCTGAAGATTCATCTTCACATGAAGCAAAAAATATTTTTGCTGAACTTATTAAATTGGGACTAATATGTGTGAATAGAATTCCAAATCAACGACCCGAAATGGTGAAAGTGTTGGAATTGCTGGAATAGTGATAATAGTGGTAATACTTATTTTTAAATATTTTATTTTAAATGAATACTTTATTTTAGATACATTAAGTAATTTGGTGTTATTAAATTAATATATTTTATATGAATGTATATTTTATATTACGATTATGAACAATAATGTTGAAATTGAATAAAATATAAATGCTCTAACAGAAGTTATTATTCTGTTCTTAAGTGTTATAAGTCGGTGTTAATCATAATCCGGTTAAGTATTAACATGAAAATGCGAATGATAAGTGATAATAATAATAAAAAAACCTTGCAAATTTTTCTCGAAATAAAACAATATTTTCTCTTAACTAAAAATATTTGTGATGTTTGGTGGAGTCCAAAAATCCTTAAAAAATCGATCACATGATTATTGGAGGCCGCCTTAGGGTTAGAACAGCTAATTAAAAAAAAAAAAGCGTTAAAATGTTTTTAGAGTTTATTCAATTTGTATCAAAATTTTATATAATTTTATTATCACAAGATTTAAATAATTAAAACAAAAATTTGATCTAGTATATTAAAGTAATTCGTTATTAGTATGTTCATGAATCCAATCTAAGTAGTAATGTACTCTGGCATATACATCAGGTACACCTTGAGCACAATACCTCCAAACCCAAGAAACAACACCAACTTGCACAGGTCCTTCATTGTCGTATACCACCAATGGACCACCCGAGTCACCCTTTATCATAAGAAACATAATAAAATTTTGATGCCATTATAAAAATATTCAGCTTTACTGTACTTACCTTACAAATTCCAATATGTAATCTGTTAAATGCGCACAACATTCCTGGATAAATGGTATCTATTGCTCTACCTCCTGGTCCGTAGTCGTGCCATCTTTGGCATTCGGCATTACTCCAAGAGTTGACCAGCATTTTTTGGAGATAGTTTGGCGATGTATTACTTGGATACTAAAACATTAAAAAATAGTACTTATTTGCTAGTCAAGTCTCCACAATTCTGTGAGAATGAGAGATTTTGATACTGCCCTGTTATTTTCTAAATAAATATCGTGGCCTAATTGAATCATTTTTCATTATGTATGTGTTATTTTTTATTTTAGGGAAAAATAATGCATACATATTTGTATTTTAACAACCCTGTTTTCATACTTACAGCAGTAAGACCCCATCCTGAAACTGTCAGCAATACACCAGAAGGAGTATCGGAGTTTGGTAGACGAATTGGTTTTTGATATTGGTTGAATGTCATTGGTCTTTGAAGCTGCAAAAGAGCATAATTTTGGTTGATTCTTATCAGCAGCAATCATTAAAACTAGTGCAAAAAATGGAAAATGTTCCATTTCTTACATTTTTGTTGGTGACTTAGGCAACAACATTCGCTTAAATTCATTTTACTATAATTGAACATGTATAAGAACGCGATTTTTTTCTAATTAACACAATTTCTCTAATAATTATTGTCTTGGGCGTTGAATGAATAAATAAATAAATAAATAAATAAATAAATAAATAATGGCTAATAAACACTAATTGATGTTAAACGCGAAAACAATCCCTATAATATTGCAGAAATTTATAGCTCTGATATGGACATATAATTTGTTTCCTAACAAATTTTATTTTTAATCTTTACCTTGATAATTGCAACATCATTGTTCAAGTGGCTTTGGGCAAATTTTTCATGGAATACGATCGATTGTACTGCATGTGATTGCCCTCCAGCTAATAATTGAATGGAACCAGTGACGACTGTGAAATCAGGAGGATATGCCCTGAAAAATATTAATTTAAATATTGTAGAAATTTTCTATGTTTATATATGGTAGGTCATTTAAAGTGAAAGCATTGTGAAAGCAAAAATATGAAAAAACATGATTTATTTTCATTTCGGTTTCAATTTACTTCGGTTCAAGGAGGAATGCTGAAATGATGAAGACACATGTTTCCTTAAAAAGTTTCTACTTTAAATAGCGCTTCCACTCATAGTGACCCACCCTAAAGATTGCTTGTTAATTTGAACCATCTATTGTTTTTTCATAAAATATTATTTTGTTTCAGATTCGTTTACAAAATTCATTATTACCTGCCCTCAACGCAATGAGCAGCCGTTAATATGTAAGATGGATTCAAAATAGAGCCTCCACATGTGTGGTACTGTCTGTACCGAAGGGAAATCTGGTGAGGAAATTCTCCGACTGCAGCAGGAACTCCTCCAATAATTCTCTCGTCCACGCCGCCTGCATGTAACAAAGGTAAGTTATAATATAAGTTTATTTTTTTGTTGAATTTGTAACATTATGAAAACTTTGGTAACAGTTGGTATCAGGTTACCATATTTTTAATTTCAAATTCGGAACGGTAACTTTGAAGTTGGGCTAATCCGGGACGGCGGAAAATTGCTATTCATTTTTCTCATTGAAAGTATAAATTTAAGAAAGATAATGGTAAAATCCTAAGTTAAAGGAACTATTGAGATCCACAATAGTGGATCACAGTATACCTTGTTAATATCTATATTATTATTATTATGAAGTCAATTAATTATTGTCTCAACTGAATTAGTATCTTTACTTTTAATGTTTAATACTAAACATTGGTACAAATAAAAATTTATAAAAAAAAATCGATATCGACTAAATAAGGGGTCCATGGCAAAGTTAAACGGGTCCACGATACAAACAGGTTTGGAAGCCTATGGTTTAAGGAATCACATCGCAATAGCTCGTTGAACACATAGTTCTGATTGATGTCCAAATTTACATAAAACATTTATTTTTATTACAATTATATAATATTATCAACTTACCCAGGGCGCTTCCAATAACTGCAATGAGAACTAATAGCAACATTTTTCACTAATGACAACGTAACCAAAACCTCTGGGTTTTTATATAAATCGCGTTTTAATCTTATCGTATTTTTTGCTTCATAATGAATTGGTTTGTTTATGATATTTGTTGATTTTGATTTACTTGATATATGTAATCCAATGATTTTGGATAATCTTGCATTGTTAAACTGTGATGCATTGTGAAATAAATTATGCAAAATAAGAAGGCTTACTGGTTGTACGATAATTTCTGGTTGGTAATATTAACAGAATTTGAAATGAAAAATAATACTAATTTTGGTTATTTGAAGTTTACTAATTATAATAGTAAACTTCAAACATAAAATTAGCGAATCGAGAAAACATAAAATTAGCGAATCGGATTTTTTGATGAAAACATAAACTTCTCCTTCGGGAAGTTATTATAATAACTTCGACGTTTCAAGCCATTCTGAATCGAATGAGACCAAATTTGGAAAAAGTATGTGTGTGTGTATGTGTATGTGAAGAGATTTTAAAAATTCGTCAAAGTTTGCAAAAATTGGTATCGTTTTTCTGGCATTTGTCAAAATTAGACCTTTCATCGACGTTTTGTCAAAAACGCCTGAGCCGATTTCAGAAATTTAAAAGCCATTTTATGTATCTCGATGAAGACTATCGTTTGTCAGTTTTGTGCGGCGATCTGCTAAGCTGTTTATTTGCCATATGGAAAAAAGTGTTAAACTTTTTGTCCACATTTAAGCTCATACTACCGAATCGATTTTAAAAAATAAAAAACTGTTCGAAAGGTATTGATTGGAAATGATACTGCCGAGTAACTAGGCCAGCTAGATATCAAGCAGTGTGATATTAAGTTTCCACTTTTTTTGACTTTGTATATAAGTACATCAGTCATATACCTGTATACAAATTTACACTTGTGGTTAGAGATGTCTAATATAATCTAAAATTATTTTCCGTGGTTGACTCTGTAGTTCTGTTAAAAAATAAAAATGTGTCTATTACTAAAATTATTTGTAGAATGACTGCAAATGATAAGTTTCAAGATCTATGTCATTAATTTTTCATAACAAAACTACCTTTGATATTAAAACATGTAATCGGTATCGACATGAGGTCATTTTAAATCGCAGAATTACGTGATTCCAGTATCTATCGAAATCAAAGCTATTTTATCAACGTATTATATAAGTGAAAAATAAACAATACGTTGCATTTTAACTAAAATTAAAAATAATTAGTTTGATACAATCTTGTGTAATAAGTGGAAGTGTTCTCAAATTAAATTTATTTATAATATATTTGAACGGATTTATTCATATTAAATTTTTACATTTCTTATTATATTCATTTGCAACTTACAACTGTTTTATACATAATGACATAGTTGATTTTACATTTGTTAGATAAATTATAACGACTTTTTGATAATTATAATGTAAAACTAAAATGAATTCTTGGGATAAATGAAATTGAGATTTAAATTTAATTTTTTTCAAATACCAATCTTGACTTACAATTAGATCGTGTCGATTTTCTTTCCAACATTTTATAGTAGTTTTCTGTAAGTTAACAAGTCCATACTAATATGAATAAAATAACTTATGAAATTATAATATATTTAGATTTTTGAATGAATATAGTAATTGTTTTCAATTCTTATAAAATATATAGTTAATATAACTAGAATAAAGCTTAATAAATTGCTCCATTAGTCGCATTTTTGATCCATTCGAGATAGTAGAAGACAGACGTGTATACATCGGGTTTTCCACTTGCACATGTTTTTGACATCCAAGAGACAATGCCGATGATTTCGTATTTAAATCCATTGCTTTTTTGTATGAAAAGTGGTCCTCCAGAATCTCCCTTGTGAAATAAATCATAAATATTATTTTTCCAAAATAAAAACAAGGAAAAAAGAGTGCGCGTAAGGTTCACACGCGATTGAGGTAAAACTTATTTGCTACTGTACAAGATGGCATTTAAGTGAAAATAAATATATCATATAACAATTTTGAATAATGTTTATTAGTAATATGGTAACACTCGTGATGCACACATTTGTTAGTAGCAACCATTATACACATTTATATAATGATAAATTATAAATTATATATTTATATTAGCATTAAAAATATTTATAATACTTGAAAACAATAATGTAATTAAAGCCATACTTCAAATATGACATGATCGGTTTGTCATTGTAATTATCTTTTAGAAATAAACCTTCATTAGAGAAATGAAGTAATTGCTGATTAATCAGGAAAAATTATTGTAACCCTTCAACAATTTTTTGCATATCTCCAACTTGTAAAGATTTCTGAGCAGTTTGGCATACTACAGAACAAATAATGTGTGTAAACCAAAGTATAAGTTGAGTATACCTGCTCAACCGGTTTGAATGATTCATAGAAGCTCTGTGTTACTCTAATATACTTTATTTGAGGCACTTAACTGATTCAAAATTCACTTACTTTGCATACACCTGATTTTGATTTAATGGCACACATCATTCCTGGCATAATGTATCCTGGGTGCCAAAACACATTTCGGCATTCTTCATCAGTCATTGTGTAGACTTCCATTTTTTGCAAATTGTTTGGATGTGCTTTTCCAGGATACTTGAAGTTGAAAATACACAGATATTTATATTAAGAAGTGTTTATGTAATCATAGGAATTTAATAAAAAAAAATAATATAGAAAATGTATACCACATGCTTTCCCCATCCTGTTACTATGCTTAGGGTATTTCCCTTTGGTCGTTTCCTTGGTAAGGCGATTGGTTTTTGAAATTGGTTGAACTTTATTGAGTTTTGAAGCTAAAATGTAATAGATTTGGTTCATTCAAATACATACTTTGATTGCATATTTTATAATATTTTATACAAATAATCTCGTTTATGGTTTAATTAATTCATTTAATGACTACCTTTTTATAAATATGCATTACTCACCTTCACAACAGCAATGTCATTTTCCTTTGTTTTTTCTGAAAAATTGTGCTTGATAATTTTTTCTATTTGGTGTTCCTCACCACCTCTGGTTAGATTTATCGTGCCAGTTACAACAGTCAATTTATCAGGATTACTGCAAATGTATAAAAAATATTGGTCTTTTGAGTAGGTAATAACCATTTATACTTATTTATCTATGGTAATAACAACTTTTAATTTTAACCTCAAACAAAATTAACTATACCAATTTCTCAAAATCTTACAAAATATATAAACTCTAGTCTTTAATATTTATACACTTTTTTAAGTTAATTCATTTTTTGTTTGAATCATTTTTTTTCTAAAATTTTTAAAATCTCATATTTTGTTTGGTTTTAAAGCAAGGTGCAAATTTAGATACCGAACTGATATTTTACTATTTTCTTTCTCAACCGAATTTTATAAAATTTTCTACTATAAATCACAATTAACTTTTTATTAACGTCCCAAAGGAGATGTTTATGCTTTAACAGAAAATCCGGTTTGATAATTTTATGTTCTCTCGACGTTGTAAGTTATTCTTAATCGTGTGGCACCTAAATTGGAAAAAGTGTGTGTTTATGTGAGCTAAAATTGGATGTTTGTAAACTTTATTTTTAAACTGGCTGCACCGATTTTATAAGTTCATTCATATTAGTTTTTTTTTATAATTAAAGAGATAAGTACAATTTTTTTGCCAAGTGTTCTGAATGTATCTCATTGATGAGTTCGAAATGGGCGGGTTTATTTCTTCGTAATTAAGTGTTAAATGTTTTTTTCACGAACTTTAATTCTTATTGATTAAGTCGATTACACTTACACAGATCGTAATGTTTGTACAATTTGCTTAAAGCAAAATACCACTTACACCTAGTAAAACTTGACTTTATAATATGCAGTATATGAAATATTTCAGTACTATCACGATTTATTTCAGTACTATTATAACAATATAAATAATGAATTATTTCGCAATATTTTGTACTGCGTTTGATCTTATCAATGTCGCCCATAGATTATTATATAGAAATCAACGCAATCAATTAGCTTCTATTTATACTTTTTATCAAAACAGTGGGCTGCCGTCAAAATGTAGTCATTGTGAATAATTGCTCCGCCGCAAATGTGTCTGCCTTCATATCTGATTGACACCTGGTGGGGAAATTCACCAAGAGCTGCGTTGTGTCCACCGATCATTTTCTCGCAGATTTTCTCACCTGCCGGAAAAAAATGTTGCAAATTATTGAAAGTTACATGGTCATATACATACTAGTGTGTGTATGTGGAAATAAAATATTAAATCAAGATATACAGCTTTTAGAAGTCATTCATAAAAATTATAGCTTAAATAAATAATTGGATTCTGGTTATTCAAACTTGTTACTAACTTTTCCCAAATTTTCGCTAGAAAATCTGTCTTGCTCATTTTATGTTTTTCGACGGTTCAAATAATTCTGAATCGTTTGAGACTAAAATTGGAAAAAGCATATGTGTACATGTATATGTTTGTATATGTGTACATCACCATTTTCTTGAAAACGGCTGCACCGATTTCAAAAATTTAATAGCCATTTAATTCAATAAAACAAACTCGATAAGGACTCGAGTTGATTCGTTTTTCGCGACAAACGGCCAAGCAGTTTCTTTAGAATTAGCAGAAAAATGCAAATTTAGGTATCCACATGTTTTCACAAAATATTTCGACCTGATTTTGAAAAATTAAGGGGGCGTCCATGAATCACGTGATCGATTTTTTAAGCGTTTTTGGACCCCTTCTCCTATTTGGTTATAATTAACTACCCCTATAGCTTGGGGGCGTCCATTAATCACGTGAGCGATTTTTTAAGGATTTTTGGACCCCTCCTCCCCCTTGGTGATACATGGTGATATTCAAAATTACTCCCCCTCCCCCAGCAAACATTACGTGTATTTTTAGTTACATGATAGAACTGTAAAATTTTTGATTCATTTTTGAAATGTTTGATTTTTTTTTAAAAATCAGTTAAAAAATGCCTTCCTCACGTGATATTTCGTGATTTTTTTGTCAGACGTCCCCTCCGCCTAAAAACCTCACGTGATTAATGGACACCCCCTTGGTTATAATTAACGCCCTCTCTCCCACCAAACATAAACTTTATTTTTAGTTACTAGAAAAGATTGTAAAATTTTTGAATTGTTTTGGAAAATGTTTGGATTATTTTTAAAAATTCAGGTAAAAAATAAATACACGTGATATTTTACTATACCCTTCCTCCGCCACGTGATATTGTGATTTTTTTTTTGTCAAACACCCATAAAAAATCATTAAAGTTTGGAATAAGGGGGCGTCCATTAATCACATGAGCTTTAAGGGGGAAGGGGCGTTTGACAAAAAATTACCAAATATTACCCAGGGGAGGAGGGAATCTAGTAAGACTAGATACTATACTATACTAAGATCTAGTATTTATTTTTTCTCCTCAAGTTAAGAAAAATCTGAAATTTTACAAAAAAAAAAAAATTACAATTTGTTCTAGGTACTAAAAATACACGTAACATGTGGCGTAGGGGGAGTAATTTTGAATATTACTATGTATCACCACCGGGGAGGGGGGGTCCAAAAATCCTTAAAAATTGCTCACGTGAGTTGCGCATTTAGGACATACAAATGTATGTTTGTGCACTATAATTAATACGATTACATATATTAAAAATGTGTTTGAAAGATAACATTTAGAAAATAAATAGTCACAATCTCACAATTTTCATAAGTCGATTATTCACACATATCAGCAAGCTCACGCAATTTGCCTCAAGACATTTATATTGAATTTTCTAAAATATTTGAACCTACACAATGATGCACAGTATTAATTGTAAATAAATTGTTTTGATATAAGATTATACAATTATTCATCAGTCATTTATTTGGAAAATTAAAATTATCAAATGCTACTGAACACTACCTCCAATACGAATTATTATTCTATATACATATACTAACATTTTATTATTGAGAAACTCCTTGCAATACACAGTAATTTAAGAATACTCTGAAAATAAAATATTGAATACATTTATAATATTAAAATGAAATTACACTACTGTTACATTTGTATCAAAACAGTAAAATGAATTAAAAATCATTTGCACTTTGTATTTTTATATTTTTGTTTTTTTGATAACCCAACCTAACTCTCTTTCTTTAGTAATTGATAATACATGAATTGTAAATAATTTTTTATGATAAATTGGCACATTTCACTTACATTGTTTGAGAACATTCACCAGTGGAAATATATAATTAATTTTTGTTAAGTAATAAAAGTATTAAAATAAATCTAAATACTACCCTTGGGAATTATGATTTCATATTTATACACTAAAATTTTATTACAGTAGTCAATTGAGAGTAAATTAAATATATCATTGAAGTAAAAAATTTAGGACATTATAATGAAATCATATTTTATTATCGAAAGATAAAATTTTATATTTATGGGTAGTATTGGTGAATAGTGAAATGAATCTAAAAATGCTTTATTTGGCACTTATTTTTTTTAATATTGTTCATTTTATGATAACCTAATCAAACTCTTCTAATAAAGCAATAATTGTTTTGATAAATCTGTTCATTTCACTCACATTGTTCGAGAACATTTATCGATCATAGTTTATATGTGATTAAAACTTTTTAACATATTGAAAAATAATCGTTTAAAATATGTTAAGATAGTTTATCAATGAAAAAACCAAACAAAGCTATACAACTTTTGCTCTAGATCTTGCAATTAGAAATTATTCATAATAGGTACTTCAGTTTAATAATATCTATTGATTGCCTTAAGTACTTACAGTTCCGATTGCAATTATTATCAGAAAACTATTTGAACAAACATAATATAACCACATTTGTAACTTAATATCAAAAAAGAGTGCAACAATGCGTTCTCAATGAGATTCACTGTCAACTGATATTTATAAGAAATTCGCCTGCAATTTACCTGTCTATCGCCGCATTCAATCTATTGTAATGAGTAATAATATGATTTTTATCTCTTTCTTTCTGTAATCTTGCATATTTCTCTTATTAATTTTTTCTTATTAATATTATTAGTGATTCAAATACATGTTATCTTATCAATATCTGCATAATTTAATGCGTTTTTCAAGTACTGGAAGTGATTGTACGAGGTATTACAATAATTTA